TTTTAGTTAAATGCATTTATTAATGAAATGAATTGATGTTTTGTATTTGCACACATTAATCTGATTTAATTGTGACGCATATCAAAAAGAAACACTTTAATAAGTTTGCTTTGCTTGGCTGCCTAAGAGATAAGAACATAAACAACAGCTGACTGCAATTGAGATAGTACAAGTGTGCTGTGTGATAATTCCCCTGCAAGTCGTGATACCCCAGCACCGAGGGCATCCGAAAAGAGGAGCAGCGAAAAGAACATGAATAAGCAGCCGATCGCAGCGAGCACAAGACAAGATAAGCAGATAATTTTCTAGGCAGCAGCAAACGGTGAGGCGTTGTGCGGCGCGGCGCGGTGGCCACAGGCAGCGCGGGACGGACAAAGGGACGTTGCATGGGATGCCTCCAAATTGGACCACAGACGCTGTACCCGGTACCCTTAGCAGCGACATGATGTTTTACTAACCAGCGCACGGGCCTTGGGCAGAGGAGAGCGGGGAGCAGGCAACGGGCAACGGGCAACGGGCAACGGGCGACAGACAATGGACATGCGGACAACCGATGACTGAAGAGAGGCTGCTAATAATTTGTGTACGCGACGCCGCCAGAGCCACAGCCAGAGCCAGAGCCAGAGCCAGAGCCACCGGTACAACATCGGCCGGAGTCCAGAGTCTAAGCTTTGTGGTGTGCTGGCTTAGGGGCACACAATGGAGGAGCATGGGCATGGGCATTGGCTGGGCTGGGCTGGGCCCATTGTCGTCCTTCGTTTCATGCTAAACGTGTTGTTGCCAAATTGTGAACAAGATTCATTCATGTTTCAACACATTGAGCAACACGAGAGACTCCGACATACGCTGAGGATGCGCTCTGCCATCCGTGGCGGTGTCGTTGTCATGGCCATCAACCGTCAGCCTCTGCCTCAGCCACAGCTTCAGCTTCAGCTTCAGCTTCGGCTTCGGCTTCAGCTTCGTCGTTGTCGGCGTGTGAACAGACAATAATGCGGCTGCCCGCACGTTCTGCCCTCTGCATTCGCTGCTCTTATTTAAATGTGATGTCTGCACTGGGAATTTATTATGGCTGCGGACTATGCGGCGTATGATTAATAAAATTAATATGAATCCGCACAGATAATAATTGGGTAATTCGAAACGCCGCCGCACAAAGGCCCAAATCGCTTTTATCGCATTGACAAGGGACGGCCAACAGTTGGGCCATAGAGCATCCGCATTCAATTATCCTGCTATGAGACAAGCCCCGAGACAGTCACAAAGGATCGCAGCCAGAGCAGCTCAATCGATTGAGTTATGCGTGTGATTCATCAAATCAAATCTAACAATTTTATTACTACTGCTCCGATTGTTGGAGAAATCAAAGCTTTCGACTTAAGCAGACAGTTTGACCTATTCAAATATCCCAAATATCCTTACGTACCTCTGAAAACATAGGTGAGAAATAGTTCACTTTGGATAAACAATTCATATTTCTATTAAAAAACCTAATTACTTATATATATATATATGTAGCTATGATACATAGAAGTTCCATAATTATCATATTCCCAAGATATGCTACAGCCATTTCATAATGATGATGCAGAGTTGGCATAAAAGTCAATTTATCATCAAATGCTGGTTCTACTTCTAAATTTTCTTTCAGAATACTATTCTATTAAAATTGATATATATTAAAGTAACTTTAACTTAAGCATTAGTGACAAAAACAATCAGTATATTCAATATTATGTATTCACTAAGTTTCTATAAGGTTGTTAATCGATAACATTGACAAAGAAATAGTTATCGATTTTTAGACGCCCTCGACCTGCCCGTGCAGATTCTTTAATCAAACAAACGTATGGAACAGTCGGACGGACGGAAAAATGGTTAGATCTAGATCGACTTACCTCTTTACCCGGATCAAAAACATTTCCGATGTTTAGCGCATATAGTTTACTTATTGGAAAGTAAATTTGATATAAGATGAAAACTAATTTAATGTAAAAGCCTGTGGCTTGTTACAATTTACAACTATGTATGTATTCACACAGCAGTGAAATCTATGTCTAGTGGTCTGAAGTAACACAAAGCCAAATTTATTAATAACATGAGCCAAAAGAAATTTACTTTTTATTAAAGATAACATGGCACAGTGTTAAAGATACATTGGTATTACTGGTCAAGTACGAACGACTTCAAATGGACTGTGAAAGATCATTCACGACCATCCCCAACAGCAAAACGCGAAGTAAAACGCTTATTCTCTATGTTTCAATTACAATACGTGGAAAACCGTGTAAGCCATGAAACCATATAAAATATTATAAATG